AGAGACTCTGCCAACAGAAACCAAGCAAACAGGCCAAAAAAGCCTAATCTCAACAAAGACGACTAGAACTCTGTCAAAGTAGCAAAATGGGTTTGAAAGGGAGTGGATTATCACCCATCAAGAGAGTGTTTCAATGCCTCATGTGAAAGGAGTGGGATTTTTGTTACGTGATTCACTGAAACCACAGCTGCTATCGAAATACAGAGCAAGCTAGGGATGAAAAAGCTAAGGGGTAAAGAGAAAGGAATGAGTATAGGAAGAAAACCTCAGCAGCAGAGGCAGGCAGAAGACAGTCAGAAAGGATGTGAAAGCAACAAGGGAAGGAACGTGGGCAGCCAGGTTGACAAAGGGTGTCTCTGTTTCCAGTGGAGACCTAGCTTTTCCCATTCACTTTCTCCCAAAGCCTAAGCTAAAAATGCAGAAATACAACATTTGTCAGGCTGTACAGAAAGGAAAGGCAGAAAATAATCCCACAGATGGCTTATTTGTTTTGTGCAAATTTGTGTTCAGCACCACAAGGATTAGTGCATTAAAAATACATAGACTTGAGAGAGATGGTTTCACAGGAGAAGGAAGCGCCTCAGGGTTTGCTTGAATTAAGTCAATGGGAATGTTGCTATTTGCTTCAATGGAAAGAGGTCCAAGTCCTTATCTGCCTGCCTTAAAATGTTACCAAACAGCAGGCTCTAATCAGAGACTGAAGCCTCCAGGCTTGTCCTGAAGCTGCTTGTTCACTACCTCCTGTTATTTTCTGTGGAGAACTCTGAGAGTCTTTGCAAGGTGAAGGTGGAATTTTTGCAAGGTCAGAGCAGGGTCTTGGCAAGGTGCATCCTTTCCTGGCGTCACTTCTGGTGCCTGGAGTGAATCATCTCCTTTTCTTTCCTCTCTTACCTGGGTGCTCTACTTCCACTTTGCTTCTCAAACCTGTGACACCAGTGGGGCTAGGTCAATGTCAGACAGACTTCCTAAGAACAGCAGATGAAACACTGAGGACTGTGAGGGTTGGTACAAGCCACCTGTCCAGCTCCCTTTTACATTTTTTCCTATCATCTCCAGCCCTCATAGTGCCTTTTGTATTAAAATGCATTCACAGTTTTGACCTCTTTTGTGATATCTGGCCATGACAGTGCTGCACACAGGTGCCACAAACCAGTGCCTTCTCCATAAATATATTTCTCTAGCATCTCTTCAATACCTAACCCTTTCATACGCTTCAGTGTTTGCTTTCAAACCCATTCCCCTTCCCCATCTTACAGCATACAGCTCCTTGGTCTAACTCCAAAATGCACATATCCATCTCCTCCTAATAGATGTAAACCCAATGCTCTGAACCTCCCCTCCTGCCTCTGATTCTTCTCATGGTTCCTCAGCCTCGCTACCCTTCACGCCTTCTTTGCTCTGTGTTGATGAACATTTGCTCTCAAGGGAAAAGAAGACCTTAGTTACAGATGCATGAAACAGCAGGGAAGTTTGGAAGAATCAGTGAGCGAAACCTTCATCCCTGTCTGCAGGAAACAGGATGCCATCTCACTTTCTGAAATAGGAGAGGAAGCCTTTTTGAGGCCCCCAGATGAGATGGACTTAGAGGTGTAAGAGCCTCTCAGACATTTGGCACTGAATGCTAGGAGTGGAAGAGTACTGACAAATCTATTCTAATCCATTATCACCTGCATTTTCAAGTCTCGTTTTACTGGATGCATAAGCCCAAAGGGAACTGAGAACTAAGAGGAGCAACACCACGCGCCATTTTCATGCTTCCAGCATAGCCGACCCATGTTTACCTATCTCCAGAGAAAAACGTGAGGACTCTTTGTCTATCCAAAGACCAATATCTAGCTCAGCCCAAGAGTGGGCTAACAACCTGTCATGTAGACATCATCAGTGCAGTGATTGTCTGTATCGCTTGGTGTAGGATCAGTTCCTTCTTGACTGCAGGACAGCAGAGCATTATGACCTCATATTAAATTACAAGTCCAGATACTATAAAAGGCAAAGGAAGGAAAGGGTTAGTGAAATGGCCTATTTTATTTTTCAGTAGCTCTCTTTAAACATCCCTAAGGATTTCTTACCTCCCATTAAAATTTTACCTGAAAACGCTGATTGTAAGGAATCCAGTAGAGATACAGGCATAGAAAAGCAGACTGTTAAATACTTCTGCTGCAGTAAATCTCCAGGCACTTGAAAGCCAGTAGGGCATGGGGAGGAGAAAGGGTGGATGAAACAGGGGCTGCATATTTTAATAGGATGATTAAAAATCCTGTATCAGGACTCAGCAAATACAAGATATATAATTTTTAAAATGTTTTATTGCTCCATTCTTGCAAGTTGTACTTTTGTTTACTGTTCCTGTCTTATGTGAAAACAAAAAACTTCCCCTGATTCCTGCAGAGCCCTGCTTACTCTGCCCTCTTCTTTCCCTCTAAGCTTATTGAATAAACTGCTCAGCTGAATAACTAGAGATATTCCCCTTCCCTTTTCTCCCACCCTAGCAGTCTTTCCCTCTCCAGCATTTTTTTCAGTGCTCTTTTTCATTCTCTCTGCTGACTCCATTTGCTTATGAAGATGAGGGGTCCAAAGCCACATAATAACCAGATCTGCCCACATTCCTGCATTCAAGGCTGAGTGTTTGCTTTTGTTTTTCTTTCTTTCCATTGAAAAAGAGTATCCACCTGAGAGAAGAAGAAATGAGTCTGAGCAGATAGAAATGAGTCTGAGCAGAGGATGTGCCCACAAACCTAAAACAGTTTTAGGGGCACGTAGGGAAATCTCTGAAATAGAAGTCATGGATGTGGAACAGATATCCCTCTTCCAAAGCATTTGGATGCATGTGGAAGGAAGCAGATGGAGCTCCCAGAGGTCTGACCCCAAAATGATTGAGAGTTTGATAGCCCTTCTCTTCTTGGCCAGAAACTGAGATATGTCCTTTGCCTTTGGGCTCTTTGTTTGGGCTCACCTCTAAGGCTTCAGTCAGTTAGGTGACTGATGTCCTTCCAGAAACTAAAAGCCATTTGCTGGTGGCATTGGTGTAACTGAATGCCCAGACAGAACCACGTTCAGCAGTAAGTTAACCACAAAGCAGCAAGCAGAGGAAGACAAGGAATGAATGAGATTAATTAAAGACTCAGACCCTGGACTGTATGTGCCAGCCATTTGATTTTTCTCAATGCCTGTTAACACCCAGAGGAAAGCAGCAACTACCTGGTTAGCACCAGGTAGGGCAGGAAAAAGAGAGTAACACATTCCGTTTTGCAGGGCACAAATACTGTGTATTTCCTCTTTCTTTGTATGAGAGCAGTTGATGTCTGTCTAGCATTTTCCATTTGAGAATAAGAAAGCACTCAACAAGCTCTTCAGACAAGTTCCCATGCACAGAAAGTACTTGCCTGTGGTAGTAACTGGTTTGCTTATGTCTGTAATGAAAGTGAAGGGAAACAGAATAATACCAAGCCATCAGTGTCCACCAGCTGTGGATAAATGGCAATCATCTCTGCTATGAAGAAACCCCTTTGCTCCTGACTGAATGTTCCCATCTCAGGGACAAAAGGTTCCACTCTTCACAGCATCCCCCAGCATCGAAGGCAGATACAAAGAATGTGTTTCCTTTTGGGAGCTGGAGAATGAAATTACTTAGGTGAGATATAAAGGATTTGAATTTGTTAGAACAGTGGAGCCAACAGTCCCAGTATTGAGAAAAGCATCACGGGGTATTAATGGTCATGAACAGGCATCACCTCCACGGTGTACGTTAGATGAAAAACACCTTCAATATCCATGAGCAGAGAATTTAGTGTGAATATCCCTCCTATGTCTGATGAGAATTAATCCCTCCATCCAAGAAAATCAAAAGGGACTAAAATGCCCCAAAAAAGCTGGTAGTAGCTGGTCCCTTTCCCTCGGTAGCACTTCACAGCCTTTCCTCAGGTACAGCCTTCCACACATCGTCTGGCAGAGGACTAGGTGAACAGCATACAGCCCTGCTGCTTGGAGGTCCCAGCGGCATGAAGGATTGTGTTCACGTGCAGTGTCCAACCCATGTCAATACTGCAACCCACTCTAGTGGCTGGCTTAATGAGATACCTGTTCTGCTGGCACGCAAGCCTGCACGCCTCTCTGGAGTGAATGTCTGTGTCACGGAGGCTGTATTATGGAGAGAACAGAAATTCAGGACAATGAGGAAGTAGTTCTTGACCCTTGTAGGTCCCAGAAACAGTCAGATGCATAACAGCCTGCTTCCACAATGTGTTCAGCATCTTCATTTCCAGGTGCCTGTTGTAAGAAGGATGTAAAGGTGCTTAGAAGCTTGCAGGTACGAGCCACAAACCATACATGCAGATGGCAACACTCACGTCAGCCATAGCTCATGTTTCAAACGGTGTTTCCCTTGGAGCACTCCTGTGCTTCGGACTTGGGGACTGAAAGGTGAGCAAGGAGATACTCAGAAGGACGTAAAATGCAAGCAAAGCAAGGCTAATGCCCGGGTAGCCAGAGAGCTGAGCAAGGCTGTGAAGCAAAGCGTCAGTTGGTGACCACATGCAAATGCCCTTTGTGGTAACAGCAGCAGTAAGATGGGATGTGCCTGTCTCCAGCATTCCATCCGCTGATGCTTCAGTGTGGAGTGGCCAAGTGACTCCAAGGAATAGCCTGAACTGCCTCAGCCACATGGTGCTGTGTCCTCCTGCTAGGTGAGACAGCAGTGCTCCCCTGCTCAGGAGAAAACTAGGACCTTCCCCGTAGGTGCTTTATGCTCCCAGCCTCTTTATATCTGTAGGTGTTCCATCCTAAACACTCTTCCTCCTCCTGCTCATTGTCTTCATCCCCCACACACCCCCACGCACGTGGCTCTGGATCTCCTCATCATGTTCTTCTCGTTAAAAACCCCATTGTTCATTTGTTTGTTTGTTCTCTCTCTCTCTCCTCTTTTTCTCTCTCTTGCCCTCTCGTTTTTTTTTTTTCTTTCTTCCTTTCTTTCTTTTTTTGTCTCCTCTGTTTTGTGTACCCAGGCAGCCCATTGAGTAACTTCTTTGACGTAATTAAACAACTTTTTTCAGACGAGAAGAACGGGCAGGTGAGCCATCCCCCCGGCACGCCAACCAAGCATAGCGCAAACAGCAAGCGGAGCGATTCCGGTTCTAATGACTATGGGTCTAGAGGAGACAATAAGTACCCTGCTGGCAAAGACAAGGCAAAGATGGTCTCATCAGTCGGCCTACAAGACCAACCTTAAATAAACACATTAAAAAAATATTAAATAACTTAGGAAAAAACAAAAACAAAAAAGCAAGAAAGAATGAAAGAATATTCCTTAGCAAGCTAGCCTCTAAACTAGAAGGATGTATATACCTTGCCACAACAGTACAAAACTGTCTATAGACAAATTTTGTATGAAGGAATGACTGTATATAT